ATATCACCTTTTTACAATTGTGCGAAAGGCTGGCGGCGGCCGAAACATTTCTGTGACATTCTGTATAAAGCAGCACATTAATACCAGGTTTTCTGTAGCGAAAAAAGGGTCGACAAGGGCGTCGAGGTATTTGGTGGGCTGAAGGTCGGACAGGCCACCTGACAGTTTAGCTGCTTCGTGTGAGTTGAAGTTGACAAAATGGCATCGTCTGAAATGACCTTTAATAGATTTGGTAGTATTAAGCATATCTTTGCATCATTTTTTAAACATTTCTGTGAAGTGTTCAAAATGTTTTAATATTCTGAGAATACAAATAAAGACACACTGTTTGATTGATATTTGTTTTATTGATTGCTATACCAAATGAATGCATGAAATAACCTTAAATAGATTTGGTAATATGAAGTATATCAATTCATGACTTTTTTTACATTTCTACGAAGTATTCACAATGCTTTAATATTTTGAGAGCATGGATAAAGACATATTGTTAGTTTGATATGTGTTTCTGTGGTTAAATTTGTGTTTCCAGCTGTGTACTGACAGCATTCCTTTACTTAAGCAGTTTTTTTTTTTTGGACTGTTTTTTTTTTTTCGCCCTCTCGCACCGATTTTGGGGTACTCAGAGGATGTCATCCATAAAAATAAAAAAGTGTGGCCTTAATTGATATTGCTTCCATATAGATCAAAATACATAGCAACAGGATGTTAAAAGTGGAAGAAATCTGTGCATCTCTAAATTTTCCCTCTTCTACATGTATAAACATTTATGTACTTTCCACTATCCCTGTCCTATTCTTCATATTAAAGAGGAAATGATACAAAATGGGTAAAATTCTCATACCCAAGTTCTGTAAACATATACACTGTACTAGAGCATTTTGAGTATGCAAAACTGTAGTGAATATATAGGATGCCTAGTTATTTATGTATATAAACAATTTTAATACAGTATAAATTTTGGTAAAATTGTTTGATTGGCTAATTTACCATATTGTCAGAAATGAAATTTAAGTAGATAGATAACTAAACAAAACCACAAATCTGACAATTATAACTGATAGTATCCAGAAAATGTTTGAAAGCCGAAAAAATACAAAAATTTGCTACAAGAAGATATCTTCCATGTTTACTGTTTACAGTTGGGATGATCGTGACCTTGAAAATTAACCAATCACATCACAGCATTTGGAGGTGTGTCTATGATGCACCTGAACTTTGTCCTTCAAATATCGGTTCTGACGAACGAGGACATCTACAAGGTGAGGGTCAAAACACTCGATCAGGCTGTCAGTTCTCATTCATGTTATATGAATATAAGATCTTTGCTCACAAAATATGGTCTCGGGCATTTTCTATCCGTCACCCCACTTGATCATGCCATATCGCCAGACTTCATACGATGTAAACAAATAATTTGACCAATCATACCGGCATAAAAGTTTGATATCGAATAGCTACAGCTAGTGCAAACATACCCAGACTGCTCATATGATTAGCTACATAAGCCAATGGACAGTTAATAATTAAATCTTCTTAATTTTGATATTTAGTTAAAACTTTACACCCTTACGAATGTTGCCTTGCTAAGGGCTGTACTGTCTGTAGCCGTACTGCCTTAATTTTGCATTACCTGCGATTGCTCCTTTCAGCAGTTTCTGAGCTGAAGGTCCCCCACTTTTTCCTCTTCCTCCAGCTGGTGTTGATACAACATTCGACTGGATAGATTTGGGTTTTTCTCCGCGATCCATCCTAACTAATAAGCATGTAGTAGAAGCTTGGTACACGGACCAGTCAAGTTTGTGCCATACAGAGACGATACTGAACTTTGACCTTCAGTACCGCGAAATCTCGCGTGAAATTCCTTGCTTTAAAAAAATAGAGGGCAGCACTTTGTTGCTCTGTAAAACAATTGTGTTCCTGCTGCTGCCCCCTTTTGGTAAAATTGGAAAACCTTTGTTTTGTTTTAGCAACGTGACTGTTGCTATGTTACTGGGTCTATGAAAGCAGCAACACGTCTTTCATTCGTAAGCAGAGTTTAGACGGATCAGTCTGCTGAACTTGTGGTGTTACAGTGACAATTCAAAAAGGTAAGCATAAACTCAAGATATTTTAAACGAAACGATCTCGAAGGAATATGAACAAACAATTTTGAATAAAACGTTGAAATAAGAATTTGATGAATCGATTATTTTTGCCATTGCCGAGATGTAAAACTTTTTAATGCCACTCACACTTACTTAGATTTAGTTGTAGTCGAATCTAAATATTCAGTTGTGTTTATTGATATTCTCTATAAATCTATACAATCTAAATCTGCATAATTGTGGAGACTCTTTGTAAATACTCAGTAGACACAAACATATAAAGAAAAAATTTATGCATACTTGTTTATCCGTATTATTTGTTTGATTGTAATTGTTTTAGTGGTTTACCGGTGACACATTTTTGTAAGTTCATCTGTGTTCTTGAGGAACAAAGATCAAACAAGTCAAATACAGTGAGAAATATAATAAGCAGTTTAACAATTTTTTCAGACTCTCATCAGAATGGCTCAGTTAATAAAACCACCAACTGTCTTCAATCACTCAGAATGGACAACATCCAATAAGACAAAATTTAGTAATGCTGAAGGGGAACGAGCAGCAGCAGAACGATTGGTAGATGAATCTAAAAGACTCGCAGATGAAACTGAAAAGAGGACAGAGTATACTCAGCGAGATGTATCAAAGAAATTAGGTAATAAACTTTAATATAATATTATGTATTTGAAAGCTGCTTTAGTGAATGAGAGATGATGTAAAATATGGGTCTAATTTGTTTCATATAAAACCTTCATTCCATGAAAAGGCTAACAAGCTCTGTACTGTGTGATATGTTTAATTTAAATCTTACTAATACATGTAGATCTATGCATTTACATTTTCCTTTTTTTCCCCAATCAGATCAAAGAATAGCAGACTTGGACTTTTGGAAGAGTGAATTGGATAATAAACTTGCTGAACTTAAAACAGAAATTGACAACTTGCTAGCTTTTAAGACCAGAGTAGAAAAGGCCATTGAAGCATGTGCTGAACCCCTCCATATTGCCCAACAGTGTCTAGCCAACAGGTGAGTCACAGTTTCGAGTTGTATAAAAAGTTTCCGAGGTGGATTCTGAGATTTGTAGTCTTCAATATAATCTGTTCAAAAAGGAAAAAGAAACATTTCCAGAGATAAGAATTAATCATAAATTAAGTTGTTTGATCCACTATGATTTTATTGACCTGAAATTAATCTTACATTTTATTTAAAATCCAGAGAGAAGAGGAAAGGCATTGATCTTGTCCATGACGATGTCCAAAAGGAACTCATCAAAGAAGTTGAAACAATCCAAGGAGTCATGGCTCTTCTGTCTAGAACACTGGAACAAGCAGTGGAACAGATAAGGTAGGATAACTACACTCTTGACCTTTGTATGCCAATATTCATGCATAACAAGCTTAAAATATACTAAATGTCCCAGATAAAAACCTGTAACTTCCAGTTCTGTAGGCTAACATTGACACCATGCTCATCTGATTTTGCTCAAAGAAAATACACCAAATCATACTTTCTTTACATTTTAGGTTAAACAGGAAAGCAAAATACCAATTAGAGAAGGATTTAAAGGACAAATTTACTGCTATGGATGTTGATGGATACTGTAAAGAATTGAGAAACAATTCTCAACACATACGCTATAAGGATGGAGTTACTAAAATCCAAGCAAAGTGAGTACAGCTGCGTTATTCTTATTTCTGTAATGTAAATAACTATTTATATTTCTTGTTAAAAAGTGAAGTAACGTATACACTGGATAAAACAGATGAAGCTTTTTATATATTTTACATCATTACCTAACAAGTTTCATCTTCCTATAGTTTGTTTCTCAGAAGGTGGCCTTATGCAACAGTATTCAACATTATTCTAAGTATATTTGGTGAAAATTTTATGTGAAACATCACCCTCTCCCCCCTAAAAAAACTTTGACAAGTTATTTTAACATGAACAATTTCCTGGCTCTTGCAGTTCTGTCACCCCCGAGGACTGGGAGACCTATTCTAATGAAAACATTGAGAAGGCAGAAAGGGAAAGGAACAACTCAGTACAACTGCGAACCATCATTGACGGTGTGCTGCAGCAGACCTGTAATGACATGCAGAAAGAATGCGAATGTGTTAACATTGCTTTCCAGAAAAGGATTGATGAGACTAAGGATACTAAAGGAAAGTTGGAAAACCATCTGTCTAGGGTAAGTGTTCTTTTCACAGATCAGACTTGATTATTTTGTAGCTAGTGATTAAATTGAAATAATAGAAACTACTGAATATTGCATTACTACTACCACTGCAGATTAGTTGCAAGTACAAGTAAAAACATACTGAAAGTTACAGAATGATTAAAATTGATGAAAATCCCAGAAGATGAATTATAATATGGTAAGAACACAGTTGAAATCAATTATTAAGTCTATAAATTTGCCTGAATTCCTTCCTCAACATGTATTTAATCTGTGCATTTAAATATTCTAGGTAATTGCACAGATTAAGGAAATGGAAGAGAACATCAGCCGCCTGCAGAAAGCCATTGCAGACAAGGAGAACCCTATGAAGCTGTCACAGACCCGGCTGGACACTAGAGCAGAGCGGCCAAATGTTGAGCTATGCCGTGACCCAGTGCAGTACCGCCTAATCAGTGAAGTGACAGAGATCCAGATGTCCATTGATGCCCTCAGGGAAAGACTTGCTCAGGCCGAGTCTTCTCTGAAAGGACTTATCCGTAACCAGCTGGACCTGGAGGAGGACATTGATGTTAAGGCAAACACGCTATTTATTGACGAGGTGCAATGCATGGGAATGAGGAAGAGTGTCAACATCAAACCTTTCTAAAATGTAAATGGACACAAATTAGAGAAAATTAGGAATTGGGATGAACTTATAATGACTGCATCATGGCATAATATATGAACTATGGAGTTAATGATTGTGAAAATAGTAAACCAGAAGATCGGAATATTGTGTGCACCTTAGCTTTATATGTGGCATAAGTTTTGTTCTTGCTGGTAAATGAATTTTCTTTTAATATGCTTCTGTTCCAGTTTACTTTTAGTCAAAGATGCAGTATGTTATGATCTTTCAATTTATTTTCATTCATATGTAAAGAACATGTCATGTACATCTGTAAATAAATATAACATATACACATATTATGCATTTTCTTGGGTTTTTACTAATGTTAAAATGCATCAAGAAAATTCAATAATATTATTTCTGTAACTTAACTAACATTTTAAAATATATTGTAAAAAAGAAAAGTCATTTATCATTAGAATAAACAAACGAAGCTTTCATCTATGTTTTTCATAAGACAACACTTTGCAATTTTCCATATAACCATTGTATATTTTGGATTAATTTATCTGATCAGTTAAATTCTTTAATTTTTCAAATTTTTTTTAGATAACTGAACATGGAGTTTTGTGCCCTCAAAAAACACATAATGCACATGAGTTAGGGTCTGCACAATGATATATCTGAAAAATAATCACCATTTTAGGTCATGTTTAAGAAAAAATGTTTATCTTTTATTTTCATTGCAATGGCAAATGTATAGTTCTCATGGTACTCCTGTGAAGATCCACTAAAATAAAATTTTCCTAGCATTCAAATTATACATTGGCTTCTGCCAAATGCATGTAACTGATTTATCAGCACACATTTTTTTCAATCCATAAAATCAAAATATCCTCATCACTTTGAGCCTTTAACCAGGGTTGTATCTTTCAAAGAGAACAACAAGTTCACAATGACTAGTGTGTGGAAACAGGTCCACAGGTATGGCTTTCACTGGTATAAATGGGGGACCCTTCATCTTCTTAGACTCTGGGCGTACAAAGCTAAAAAAAAAAAAATGAAAGAAAACTTGAATTAATTTCTGATGAACAACGTCATTTCAATGTTTCTGTGTAACTTACTTTAAGCTAAGTATACTTAAATCTATATAGACAAAAAATGCAGTCAACATGAGCTGCAATTTTTTCTCAAGTCCAAAGTAGTGCACTTACTCTAAAAAATTTGACTGTACAACACTTTTGGGGCTACAAGACACAAATATCACTCTATTCAAAGCATGGCATCTCCTGATAGCATGGATAACCTTGGGGTCTGAAAGTGAAAGCAATCAGCAATGTAATTATGAACTAGTTCTACATTTATCACAATTAAATTGTATTAAATACAACATTACCTTGCATAATACCACTCTATTAAAATAATTCATTAAGCAAACCTTATGGCTTTTAAGTTATTTTTTTCAGATAGTCAGCACATTAAAACAATATTTCTTAAACTACACAATCATTTCCTTTCAAAAATGCCAGAAAAATATATTATTGTGCCAGCTATGTGAATGTAGTATGAAGTACAAATAATCACAAACTATTTCTTACGTAGGCCTGCCCTGGGAGGATCTACCACTGCTACTGCATTTCCCCAGCATGGACGGCTGGATACCAGTTCAGGGAGAACATCCTCTGCTTTGCCACAGTGGAATTCCACATTGCTGATATCTAAAAAATAATTGACATTATTATTATTATTATGAAATTTTAGTCACCTGAATCACATTTGGAAATTCACATTTTATTGTTCTCGGCTACATTTACAAACTATATACAGGCAATTTTAATTCACTACAAGCATGCATACACACAAAACAGGGAAAAAATTGCACAGTTTCATGACTGCTGGATTTAGTGCTTCATAAAACATATCACCTACCATTTAGTTGTGCATTATGTTTGGCATCCTCAATGGCCTGTGGCACCATCTCTATACCTATTACCTTCTTCACTCTCTGAAAATAAAGTGGAAATTCAACCCTAATTAATTAAAGATCTCTTAAAGTTGTTAACTAAATAACCACTTCAGACACTCAGAATCCAAAACATATATTATGAAAGAAATATTTAAATATGTCTACTTCATGGCAGACCACATGCCACCTGCATTCTCTGACAAGAAAATGTTAAGGTAGGCACTATTTAATTCTAAATAGAAGTAGCTATTACACTTTCCAGAGCACAAGCACATTTTAGTAGAAAAGCTCTTCATCTTCAGTAAGTTAATGCCATACCTTTAAAGACTGTATGAAGCATCAAGAATAATACAAGATTTCTTTATAAAAGACATAAAATTTAAGCTAACCTTGGCCAATGTAAGTCCAATAGTGCCCGTTCCACAACAAATGTCTAAGACGGTGACATCAGTGTTGATATTCTCTAAGCACCAGTCACCAACAACTTGATACAACACCTCAGTGGCCAGAGTGTTCACTGTGGAAGAAAGGTAGATGTTTTATCTTAACATTCTGTGCTCTAGGATTAAATCGAATTCCATCTCCGAAATTACCGAAAAGTTGCACTTGATCTACCATATACCAAGACATGAAAAGAAAATGAAATATAACTTGCCAATAACAATACAACAATAAATGTAAACAAAGGATTTCAATGCAAAATTCAACTCTGATATGTGCACAATGAATATGTTTACCTTGAAAGAATGCATCTGGAGATATCCTGAAGGTAAGACCAAGTAGCTCCTCAGATATGTGCTGTAAAATAATAAAATAATTGTTATTATTTCCAACTTTAAGGCAGGCAGACAAAATAGCAATTTTTCTTGCCAATCGTAATTTCAATAATTTCAATTGTAATGAATGTAGTCATTTTAATGCCAGTTTGTCTGATCTTGGTGCCATCATCACATAAAATATACACATGGTTGTGCACTCTTGCTACTTCCTGTATCAGTGAAATAACTAAGTAAAAGGGCAAAAATCATTTATCAATCAGAACAAAACTCATAACTATAATCCACTAAACACACTACTTGGGATCATGTTGATGCACAGGCAACAATGTAACAGCCTGATGTCCCATTCTGGTGTTAACTGGAGTCTATATTGTACCTGTTCTCCGTGTAGAAGCTCAAAAGCTGGTTCACTGTCTCCACCAGTAACCCTAGGTTGGAAAAACAAAATATAATAAATGGAATAATATGAAAATAATTCAATAACTGTTTATCTCTTTACAGAAAACAAAATATGTGAACTAAACCTAGAGTGAAAATACTTTTAAAACAAATATAAAATCAATACTGCAAAATAAAGAGAAAAACAAATAATGCTTTGATGTTCTTAGAAAAAACATTGGAATTTTATTTTAAATATTGTCAACAAATTAAACATACCTTGAAGATGATGCTTGAAAATACAGAGAAGTTATTCCACATGATTTTCCACCACCAGATACAAAATATTCTACCAGAGACTGTTTCTCTAATGCAAGTTCTTCCTGAATTAAAATGTACATATCTAAAATAAATTTTTCTACAAAGTGTATTAGGTTTTCAGTCTAACTTGTGTGTTAAGTTCCCAAAAAAGAATAGAAATAGTTCAAAAGATGGGTCTTTTTTTTTAAATGCATCAATAAAGAATTTCATTTTGCAGGTAGAATATTGCACTTACCAAAAAATTTGAGGAATACGTACTCCATAAATTACTTCTATAAGACCCAGAAACTAAACTTTTGAATAACTTGATATGAAGTTCACATCTGAAAGCAATCAAACTGAAACCAAACCTCAGTTAGTGACTGTGGATGAAATATTATAATTGCCATCAGATCTTTCCCCTGACACGTGCGGGCAGTCAGTTGTCTGTAGTGTCCAACTTGGAGTTCTGGATCAAACACTCCATATTTGGAAGTCTGAATATAATCTTGTAGAGCCTGAAAATTAAATTACAAAAAATGTGTTCGATGTTATTTTGCAGGCTTGTTTTTTTCTATTATAACTGCCAAAAGTTTGTTGATTTTCAAGTACTTCTTACATATCAGATTCTCAAAGAGAGAAGCAAGCATTTTTCCTTCCAACTTCTGCACCCTTCTTGCTAAAATGGATAAGGGTAATTATATTCAGACCAAGATATATATATATATATATATATATATATATATATATATATATATATATATATATATATATATATATATAGTTGAAATCAGTTTATGACAGGCAGTCTTACCCACCTTAGCCAGGTCTTTCATACTCTGAGGTAAGTTGATACAACCACTGGGCTCTGTCACTACACAAGTACCATCTCTGTAGCGCCCCATGCGGAAACCAACAACTTTGCCTGAAGATACAGTCAATATGCTCACAGATAAACAACGCAAACTTGATGTTTTGGTTAAATCATCCTACACCTTTAAAACTAATTAAAGATCAAAAATTTATCCAATGTGAAAGATCTACTTACCACCATCACTTCCTTTTCCAATAGTGAACTCACATTTGTTTCTATAACTTTCAAGGATTGGCTGAAAAAAAATCTAAACGTTATTTCCCACAAATGGAATCCATTGACTGATATCATTAAAAGCTCACAACTGAGACTGGGTGATCTTGTGTGTCACAAATACTGATATGAAACACATCCAGTACATGCTACAAAATGAAAAATCATTGCAGATGAGATCAGCTTAATTTTTTCAGGGTTCAGGTCTACATTTCTTTTTATATCTGTTTCAAAATTTTAAGATTGCCTACCATACTGACATGCATTAAAGTTCTAAAAACACACATCTCTTACTGATGGTTTGATTTCCAGTAAAGTGCAGCATTTTAACTGATGTGTTTTTCTGAAAAGAAAATAAAATGTTAGAATAAACTTAACATTTGCTAACAGTAAACAGTGAATATGTAACATTGGGGGCCAGCTTTAAGTCTAAAAAAATGGATTAAGAAAAAAAAAAGCATTTCTCTTTGCTTCTTCACATATTAAAAATAAAACTGTCACCGTGACATCGCAATTACCTCTGATTTTGTATCCAAGACTTCAAATCCAGGTTCCCCTTTTCAATGACATGTGCAAACTTCTTCAATATACCATCCATTTCTGTTTGTTTGGTCTTAAACATAAAGAGTATGATTTTTAAAGCAAATTGAAGTACTGATATAAACACAGATGAGACTGTCATTTAGAGAAAAAGTTAGAAAAAATATGGCATGGGGTCCAGTGAGCAACCTAGGCCAATAATATTTTTGGCTCCTGAAAAGTCAGAAATCCGTCGACAGTCAAGAAAATCTCATCCCTGTATAGAGAACAAGGGATTTACCACTTACTTCACCACTACTAAAAATTACTGCAAATACTTAGGTTTTCTGCACAATCAACACTCTAAAACCTATAAGAAGAATTACCTGTATTTGCTCCTCGTATGGAACTTGCCACAGTGGAGTTACAACATTATTCAGTCTACATGAAATGAATAGAGTAATGTGTTTATCAAAATGTACATTTATTTACATATAACTGTAATAAAATAACAAAAAAAGCAGGAAGCCCTAATAGTATTAGTAGTAAAAGGTGCACACGCAGTGAATGAATTGTGCATGCACAAACCGCTTTCGAAGACAGCAGAGCGTAAAACTGAACACAAAGAACAGACAAAAAACGAAGTTAAAATCGCGTTTTGACGAATAATATATACATCTAATGGTGATGATTATTAAAGATAAACAATTTTAGACACCACTCTTATATCATCTCAAAAACTATGATAGTACCTCCCCTTGGTTTGTATGCCACTTTAAATAACACTCAAGGTATATATTTCTGAGTGTGAATAGAGTGTGAATCTGCATAGGTCTTTTAAATTTTATATACCTTTCCTGTGGTGGAAGCTTATCCTCTTCTTGATTATCTGTGCCTGATCTGGCCTTCTTTGCTTGAGGTTCATCTGTATCTATTGTAAAAAGATAATTCCTTTCATGTCACCACTGTTCTTTAGAACTCTCTGTCCTCACCTCTTCTTTTTATTTAAAAAGCAACCTTCTAAAAAAAACTTATTTTCAAATAATCAAAAAAGTATATCTTAAATATAAGACCCTAAAAACTCATCTACCAGTTATGTGTAAAGAAGAATTTTAATTCATACCCTGTTGTTGTACCTCCAGCTGTCTCTTTATGAATGGATCTGCTGCAGGATTGGCTTTCTATGTGGAAAAATAGTATGTACTAAAACACGCCTGATGAAATCTGACAAATTGTTCGAAGCAAAAACAGACATCATTACATTACCATTGACATATTTAGTTATGCAATTTTTGGGCAAGCATTATTATTTTAAAACTAGCATCTGATCATTGTTGATCAAATTTATGCAAATGTTAAACAAATAGTTTCTCAATTTTATAATTTTAAGTCTTCTTAATGAAGAATCAAAAACTATTTTGATAATTATCACCAAGTTTTGTAAGGGTCTTTAACAGATATAAAGCCTTGTACCTTTGCCTGCAAAACCTGTCCTTTCCACTGATGACCATTTAAGACATTCAAACCTTTCTGGCGATCTTCCTCATTTCTAAAACACAAAAATTCACGTAATTCTTCTTAACACACATCCACACGCAAGTATGTCCTATGTGTGTGTGTGTTAACATGTAACACATTCCTGAAATTATCATTAAAAATCGATTTCATCTTAAAAACAGTTGACTTCTGTACTGTTTTGAAATTTCCTTTTTTGATCTAAAATTGTTTTAGTCACCTCTTAAATATAGTGTCTGAAAAAAAAATTAATCAAACAGAGACATGTACACAATTTCTTTCCATAAATTAAAGATTATCATGAAATTATAATCTTATTTATGAACTGTACATATACGGTCATGGGGGTCACTCGTACTATCTTGTGTGTCTATGGAGACGACGATGCATACATTATGTTCCGGCTGCTGCATCGGAAAAACACGAACATGAAGTCACGTGATATCAATAGACAAAGCACAGACGTAACATTTGGCGGTAAAGTATAAAAGGAGGGTGGACAAAGCGGACACAACAAAGGAAAGGTAAATCGGATATTAAACAGAAAGTCCAACAAGAAAAGGTAAGGTGACGTCTTCTATATATAACGCTTTCACATTATGTGATGAATTGGATAGGTACAAGTTTTTTATTTTGTAAAAATATTTATATTAAGCTATATAAATTAAGATAAATTAGGCTAAGCGTCTTTATTTATTCATATTCAATAACATTGGGAAAGGAAAAAATTTATAATCAAATCTACCTAACATTAATATATTTAAAACAATTATATAACAAACGTGTTCGTCCTATAATTTAAGTTCAATTTAAAGAAGATAAAATTATACTCAGCAAGTATGAACGAATAAAATATAAATTTATATGCCAGTATACTTAACAGATTAAATAATAAAAAGTCCACCCTCCAAAGATATATTACATTTATTACAGCTCATGGATACTCGCAATATTTTGATAGTGGGAAGTAGTATTATTAGAGACTTACAGTGGACAACAAATTATTTTTTCAATCTACGGGGCCCAAGAATTTCATATTTTGCTAGGGGAGGGGCTACCATCCAAACTATAGGTAATGATCCGTACTTTTGGGAGGCTTTAGAAGAAAAAGACTTCATATATTTTCAATTAGGAGGAAATGACATAAAAATCTTCTCTTCACCAAAACAAGTTCGAGACAAAATAATACTTCTCATACTAGCAATAAAACAACGTCATCGAAACATTCAAATATATTGGGGACAGTTATTGCGTCGTGCTGCTTCAAACACAAGCAGGTTTATACACAACAGCCAACAGGAAAAAGACTATAACGATCAAGTTTGGCTGATAAATGATAGCATACAATCTACGGTAGATGATCTTGGAGGAGTTTATTTTTGGACCCATCGGAGAATAAATGACTGCTGGAGGGAATGTTTGAGGAGTGACGGAACACATTTGAATGACAAAGGAACAAAGAAATTATGGCGATCTATTCGGGGTGCTATTATTTTCTCTGCACCTATATACCGTAAGTATGAGTGGATATGCATGGGCATAAACCTTACTATATATACTCCTTGACCATATATATAGGAGATACGCATTGTTTATTTAAGATTTCGTGTCAGTATTTTACGTGATTTTGGGAATAAGATGCATGGGCACAAAATGAATATTTACCTAAAGTGCATGACGCTTCATGCCCGTATTAGCGTTTTAAGTGAGGTGCATGACGCTTCGTGCCCGTATCACTATATATATAAAGTGCATGACGCTTCATGCCCGTATTGTTCAGTGTTATATGTGAGGTGCATGACACTTCGTGCCCGTATCACTATGTATATAAAGTGCATGACGCTTCATGCCCGTATTGTTCAGTTTATATGTGAGGTGCATGACGCTTCGTGCCCGTATCACACTATGTATATAAGTGCATGACGCTTCATGCCCGTATTGTTCATTATTATATGTGAGGTGCATGACGCTTCGTGCCCGTATCACACTATATATATATATTAAGTGCATGACGCTTCATGCCTGTAATAATATACTAATTGGCTGGCAGGGCCTATCTCTGCTCTGGGAGTCACTGGCACCCATAGAATACTAACATTTTTCAGGTCATGAGTCAACCTCCATCTATACCTCCACCTCATCAAGGATTCATCAGGAAACTACTGATAGAAACTCCAGATCAGTCATGGAAGCAAGAAGACGGAGAAATCCCAGGGCCTTCATGGAGGGTAGATACAACAGACACAATTGCACATCAAGGCATGGGCCACACGGAGGCAGGAGAGAACGCGTCGCGACCGCTAGACAGGGGTCTAGCACAGCACACCGTTACAACCAACGCAGACGCTAATCAACAATCTCCCGTTCAGCAAAATTCTTCTACTCAGTATTTGGTTCTTACTCTTCCAAATGATTACAACGGTGATCCTCTTGTATTACAACAAGCAATACAACAAGCCACACAACAACAAAATACCTGGGAAAATCCAGGGGTACATCAACCAACGCCCCAAATAAATGATACACAAAGAATAGGAGATAATTCTACTAATTTAAATATGGTAGGGACCAACACAGTTAATGACACGATTGCGGGATATATGGGTATTCCGCAAACTACAGGTACGTCATTCTTTCCTTCAATCACTCAACATGTAACACAGGCAGTTAAACAAAAAATTTGGAATAAAGAATATGTTTCTTTTAAGTCATTGATACCAATTACATCCAACACTCTTACTGAAAATGAAAAAGGGGATGAAGATCAATTTATTCAAAAACGAGTGGTAGATGATGAAGGAAATTCACATATAGTACTGGCTCCTGCTAATAAAAAGTCCACAATATTGTCAAAACAACAATGGCAAGTAGCGTTTTCCATTTTTAGTAAAATTTATGTAGAAAAATATCCAAATGAGGCTGGAGCTTTGTTTAGTTACCTAAACAGAATTTTGGAAATGCAAATGTTGAATGATTCAAATTGGCAATTATACGATGAAAAATTTAGGCAAAATCAACAGCAACCAGGATTCTTTTGGGAAGATCCTAATGGAATTTTATTGGCAGAAATTAGATTTATAAATCGCCCCATCACGACACAAAGAAAAATGGGCATATGTTTCAGATGGAACAAGGGTAATCTATGTAGTGGAGCAGCATGTAGATATAGTCATGCATGCATGATATGTAACGGCGGTCATCCGATGGTACAATGTCCACGAAAGAATGATCAAAATATCAATACTTACAAATTTCGTGATTCAGGATCACGATTTCCTCGCACATTTCCTTATTCAAAAAGGGCGAGATATTACCGTAGATGAAACTAGATCAACAATATTTGAAGATCAAATGCAATGCATAATAGAAGAAAATAAGTTTACATTAGAAATAGAAACAGATATTGTCACACCAATTTCTCCAACTGTATTTGAGGAATATCTAAAAGAATACCATTGTGATACTAAAACATTTTTGATAGAAGGCATCACTCAGGGGTTTAAAATCCCATACAATGGTCCATTGCCAAAAAATTCTAGTAGCAATTTGAAATCAACAATGGATTTTCCACAAGCATTAGATGAGAAAATTCAGTCGGAATTAATCGCTAGAAGAATATCAGGTCCACATAAAAAACCTCCTGCAAAATACTTTAAATTATCTCCCATTGGAGTTGTACCGAAGAAGACCGCTGGAAAATATAGATTTATACATCATTTATCTCATCCTGAAGGATACTCGGTCAATGATGGCATTGCCGAGAAATATTCAAAAGTACAATATGCAACGGTATCAGACGCAATTGATATAGTACGCGATGTAGGGACATGCGCGTTCATGGCAAAAACGGATATAAAAAATGCATACCGAATAATGCCTATTCATCCAGATTATCGTTTTTTGTTGGGTTTTAAATACAATGGAAATTTCTACTTTGATAAAGTTTTACCCATGGGATTATCATGCTCTTGCAAAATTTTCGAAACATTTAGTACAGCATTAGAGTGGGTGGCCACATCAAAATTAGGAATAAACCATATGACACATTTGTTAGACGATTTTTTCATTGTTGGTAAAACGAAAAAAGAATGTGAAAAAGACTTGAGAAGTTTTATAAAATTCTGCGAAGAAATAGGAGTCCCAATAGCTCCAGACAAGACTACGACTCCATCAACAACTATCACATTTGCAGGTATTGAACTAGATTCAGTGAAACAAGAAGCTAGATTACCACCCGAAAAAATTAAAAAATGTTTGGACGTCATAAAGCAAAACATGCATAAAAAGAAAATTACATTACGTGAATTACAATCCCTTATTGGTATTCTAAATTTTGCCTGCTACGTAATACCGGCAGGTAGGACTTTTCTACGTAGACTGATTGATTTAACAATTGGCATTACAAAACCACATTTTCGGATTAGATTCACACGCGAAGTTAGGGAGGATCTTACAATGTGGAATGAATTTTTGACCCATTTTAATGGCAGGGGCTTGTTCCATGACAATGATTGGAACAGTAACAATGTATTACATATGTTTACTGATGCATCGTTGATTGGATATGGAGCTATTATAGATAAAACGTGGTTTTACGGTAACTGGCCAGATGAAACTCGCAAAATGAATATAGCAATACTTGAAATGTATCCAATATTAGTGGCTTTTCTAATTTGGCAGGAAAAATTACAAAATCAAAATGTTATCATTCATACAGATAATGAAGCACTTGTATATATTTTAAACAAAGGCATGGGCGTAACTAGGCATACGCACGGATGCACTGTGCGTACAATTTTTTGGCCAACCATGATATTATTTTATATAAATTTAGTGTATTTTTCACGGAATATAAATAAAAATCCTCTGCTTATTAAAGTCACCTGTATGTACAACTCCTCTGTATCAATTGTATAGGCACAATTGTTCTGATCCCCCCCCCCTCCCCGTCTTGCAAACTGAGGTAAACAATGCCTGTAACCTTAACAAGTCCTATTTTAATCGTCCATCTAACTGGTACTTTTATGAGGGTTCAGTGGCCCTCAACTCTTCTGTACCCTCTTTCTTGAGGATATCGAACGCATTCTCACTGGCGATATTTATCTCAGGTAAAAATCTGCCTGAGTGTTATTTTCAAAGAGCAGCTCCCGCAACCCTGGGGGCACTAGATAAAATCTGAACACCAGGTTTAAGAAGGCGCTAGAGAAACAAAGGAAGAATTTTTCCTGCAAAGCTTCAAAGAATTTTGACACGGATTTGACCTAGCTTACCCCTCCAAACTAATAGGGTGACATGGGCAATTTTTACAAACAAATAATTAAACTTAGATGTATCAGAGCTCTGTCGTGTCGTACAATTGGTTGTTTTTGGGAGCCATGCATCCACATGTAAGGTGAATCATGGGTGAATGAAACCGTATGTTAGTTCAACTCAGAGGATCCAGGTTTTTTCGAAGGTGGTTCCACATATGCGAAGCTAGCCTCCTTTTAAAACAATATACCGCTCTGGGTAATAAGAATATTTAAAAATATTTAATTGCTAGAATATTTCTGACTAAATGATGATTTTATTATTACTGGAAATTAAGCTGCGATGTGTGGTACATATGATGTAATTAGGCTGTCCTTCATCTCTTGCGTTAGTCTACATTTTGTTGGGAATTTAAAAAATCTGTGCGTACAATTTTTAAAGGTCTGGTTACGCCCCTGAAAGGCACTACAAAAGAGACCACTATATTGAAATTACTTCGTCAACTAACTCTGACATGTTTACAAAATAACATTTTATATAAATCTGTGCATATTTCGGGTATATACAACAATGCAGCTGACTCGCTATCTCGTCTTGATTTACAGGCTTTTCGAATGGCAGCTCCTATGGCCTTGAAAACGCCGTCACTAGTGCCCAGCATATGGCAACCGCTCAACTTACTACGGAATTGACAAATACTTTGGATTCGGCTCTCGCGAATAACACAAAGAAAACCTACTTAAAAATTGAACCGCTTCTGCGACAATTTTATGAGACGACCGGGATACAGGCGTTTCCCACGGATCCATTCGTCACAGCCTTATGGGTACAATTTTTAAGCAGAAAGTATTCTCCTTCGTCTATAAAAACATTTCTTGGGGCGCTTAGCTATAAATATAAAATGAATAACTTGCCAAATCCAACGTTAACTTACATAGTTAAACAAACCATTCTGGGTTTAAAAAACAAAACTCCAATTAAAGACAAAAAATTACCAATAACACTCCCGATATTACATACTTTATTAAAAAATGTAGACATTCTTTGTGGAAATAAATATGAAGCTCATTTATACAAAACGATGTTTCTGACGGCATTCTATGGATTATTCAGAATTGGTGAAATCACGGCAAAACCCTCGATACATACGCTAAAACAAGAAAATGTATCGTACGACGCGCCGAACAACATCATTAGGATAAAACTGGACTCATTTAAACATTTCGATGGGATTTCCAACAACGAAATAGCAATTCGACAACAACCGAATATATGTCCTGTAAAAACTTTGAAAACTTATATTCAATTACGACCAAGTTGTTTCAACCCACATTTTTTCATACATGAAAATGGTTCATCAGTTACAAGAAATCAGTTTCATTCAATACTTGATAAATGCCTTGGTTTGTCCAAATTAGATCAAAAAAGATTTAAGGGTCATAGTTTTAGAATAGGTGGCACAACATTAGCAGCACAGAGGGGTCTTGCTGATCATCAGATAAAGTCCTTGGGTCGGTGGCGATCCTCGGCATATCAAGGATACATTCGATAAAGGACCAACCATTAATGAGAACAGAATTTATTTGATTAAAATAATATGAGAAAAGAATAAAACTTAATATACGTAGATATGTAAATCAGAATATTAACAAGATGACTTATGAATATAATATTAAATCTTATATAATGTAAATGAACAAAGTTAACAAAATATAAAAAATATTATGATTTATATATATATATAAATAAAAAATTTTGACATTAAAATAAAATATGAAGTTATCAATAATAATAATAATAATAATTTGTAAAAAATTATCACTAATTAACTTATTAATTAAAAAATTTTTGGGTGGGCGGGAAAACAAATATGTTTTCTTATGGCATTAATTTTATCGCCCACCTTTAACAATCAGATATTTATTTATAATTTTAATTAATTAATTAATTAATGTATTATTTTTTATTTATCAAAGGTATTTATGAAATACAAAATGTATCGAGTGACTCCCAATCGCCATAATAATAATGAATATATCATTTAAAAATTTTCTGATTGTTAAATGAACAAAAATTTTTATTTATTTATTATGTACAAGAGAATAAATTAAAGATTATCATGAAATTATAATCTTATTTATGAACTGTACATATACGGTCATGGGGGTCACTCGTACTATCTTGTGTGTCTATGGAGACGACGATGCATACATTATGTTCCGGCTGCTGCATCGGAAAAACACGAACATGAAGTCACGTGATATCAATAGACAAAGCACAGACGTAACATTTGGCGGTAAAGTATAAAAGGAGGGTGGACAAAGCGGACACAACAAAGGAAAGGTAAATCGGATATTAAACAGAAAGTCCAACAAGAAAAGGTAAGGTGACGTCTTCTATATATAACGCTTTCACATCCCTCCCACCCTCCCATGGCATGCATTAATTTTATCGCCCACCTTTAACAATCAGATATTTATTTATAATTTTAATTAATTAATTAATTAATGTATTATTTTTTATTTATCAAAGGTATTTATGAAATACAAAATGTATCGAGTGACTCCCAATCGCCATAATAATAATGAATATATCATTTAAAAATTTTCTGATTGTTAAATGAACAAAAATTTTTATTTATTTATTATGTACAAGAGAATAAATAATATTATGCCACCTCACCTAAAGGTAACATATCCTACACTTCCATTTGCTGAGGCAGCCTTAATTTTCACTGGATTTAATTCGAGGTTAATCAACCTTTTCTTCAATTGCTGAAACAGATGCCATTCTAATAAAAACAGAAGTTAAAAGAAATAAAATTTCCTTTAATATATATATCATGCAAAAAATCAAATAAATTATTGGCACATATATGAAAAGCTATGTTTTTAATATCAATAACAGGCCATTCTTCAGTATCATGGTGACTAACAGAAGCAAAAAAGTTTGCCTACTTATAGCTATTCGACACTGAATTTACTTACACACTTTTATTGAAACACTACTCCTGCTTGCCAAAACTCCAGACATAAAAGGTAAAAAAATTTAAAAATAAAACTTATAAATAATATAAATAAATAAATAATATTTAAAAGAAATGGTGGCCATTGTGAAGTATAAAAAAAAAATTGTCTCATAACACAGAAAATAAAATATATACAAATATTTTTAATTAACTTACACTGAAACCAAACTTTCTAGGTAGATTACGAACTTCTATCTTAAATATTTCTGAAGTAAAACCTTCTCGTTTCAAGTATTCATATGGATCCAGCTGTGGTTTGTCTGGTTGTGATTCTGATTCTTCACTGTTTGGCCCTTGTGTCACACCTCTTTCAACAGTGATAGGATTTTCTTCTTTCATGCCATCAGGCATTTTTAATCCAGGGGAAACCATATTAGAGTTTGAAGGAGTAGCAGCAGCAGCTAGACCACCCTCTCTTTCTTCCATTTTATTAGGTACTGTCAATAAAACAGGGAACATTTACAGTGATAAATTGACAATGATGAATTTATGATTTGACATTGAATGTCTTTTTTAAAAAGAACCACTCCACTCTTATTCTGACGACTAACACCATTCACTCATTCGTCTTTATATATACTCAGTATTATATTCCCACTTGCAGTGAAACTTTAACTGGTCTACATACATATATGCCATGCATGTATTGTAAAACTAGTTAACAAGCGCCACCAGTTTACCATACAAATGACGCCAGCGTAAAATCAACCTGTGCTATATATATAAGCCTGACTCGTAACTTGAAAATTAAACAAGTTGCAGCCTCACAATGCAATAAATAACGAATAAAATCATAACAAGTCGGCTAAATACTTTCAAAAAGTCCCTTTTTACCTCTGTTAATCTATTTCATAGTACAATCTTTCTAAAGTGATAACTCAAGGAGTCGCTATAGTTCAAAATCGCACCCTTTCACCCTGTTTAAGATAAACTTTCTCCTTTCATGTGAACCACCAGGGGTAATCCTAGAGAGGGGTGAGAAACGTCCATTGTTCTCGTCAGCGAGGCTGGCTTTTTTCAGGGTATGTACGCACAGACAGAAAACTAAGTATTGTGGGAACGTTACTAATGAAGCCACTGGTAGTACTAGTAGATATCAGCCTGTAGTCTTGAACAAGCGCCTCGATGACGAGTGAACAGTTGTCAAAAACAAAAGACCCAGGCGTGGTAGTTCAACTACTGTTCATGCGTGCCGCATCGACCAAACCTAATTGCTCCTCAAGGTCACAAAACAATTTCCGGTACTGACGGCCAGGCTCGTCTTAATCATATAAGTAGCGCGTTTCCACCCCCTGGAACCACTATGGGCGCAGCCATATTGTTGCCGTATGCTAAAATGCGGGGTTCTATCAAACGTTTTTTTGGCGTCAAATTAACAATATACTCTAAACTGAGAAGTTATGATAGTGTAACTTAAGTAACTAGGATATTGGATGTTCAATTCCATTCTCAGAAATTGCAAAATTATTTATCGAAAAGAAAAGGTCTTGTTGCAACCGAGGTAAATGTCTCGATTTCGCTACAGCGGGAAAGGAGACTAAAGCTAACGAAGGTCAAGAAGAGTAGGCAAAAGAATCTCAAAGCATCTCTCTACAACATGGCAGATGACAAGGTAAACTGTGACATTTGTGTTCTCTTTTAACTTATGCCAATTTTTAAGAGAAATACAAACCCGTACATGAATAGATAACCTCAGAATCAGCACTTCAATCGAGACGTTTTTGCGCATTCATTGATAGATTGCTACGGATAATCGGCGTTGCTTGTATCTACAATCCCAGAAGAAATGCCCTTTTTTCAGTTTCTAGATATTTGTGTCTTAGTATTGATAAAAAACCAGTAATGTTGGTTAAGCCATGTCTTACTTGGCACGGATTACACTGTGTCCAATAGTATTCAAAAATGGATAGAGCTCAAGAACCTGTAACCAAGCCAGGGAGGAAACCTCTCTAGTACAAACATAACCCTAAACATACCATCTTTACTCCCTTAGCCTCAATGGGCACCTACCCACTGAAGACATTATGCCCACTCAGGACAGGAGCATTTTGGACCCTTATTGGCGATTTTGATATTTACACTGTGTAAATGCAAGAAAGCGAATTAAGTGTGAAGTGATGACCAGTTTGCCCACTCACTGCTGTGCAAGAGCTCTCTAATTTCTATCTTGCCTCTCATCTCCTTAACCGGAGTGTCAACACATGCATTTCATGCCTTGATTACACTGGTTTTAGCTACATTTTTGCTTTGGTCAATTCATCGCTCTCAGCATCTATTTATTAAATGTTCTCCATTTTAGGAAGAAGTTATTGAGAGTCCAGATGCTCATTTTGAACCAGTAGTCAAGTTACCAGAAGTGGATGTTAAGTCACTAGAGGAGGATGAAGAAGAAATGCTGAGAATGTAGGTAGAGAAGCAACTGAGTCCTGCTTGAAAGACAAAAAGCAAACACAACCACTAGGATTTTCTAAGCCTATATTAATACCTATAACCACAGTTTCAAAGACCATACATCCATTCATTTGTTTTAAAAAATTGGCAATCTGAGATAGGGCTTTTCTCAGGATTGGGGGTACAGGCCCTCCAAAATTACAGATCAACATTTTGGACTCCTTGTAACCCAAATTCTGAGGAAACCCCTGCTCACAGACTTGCCCTTCAGGAAATTGTTGAAGAAATGCTTATATTCAAATTTGAATGGGGATTGTAGAAAAATATGATGGCTAAAGCTCTCAAATTATACACATAGGTGTGATATCACATTTAGGATTTATGTACTAAGTTAAAATTCAAACTGTTTTGTAGATTTTGAAATAGATCCCTTCAACTTTGATGCATACCATAACACTGACACCTTTAAGCTCTTAGCAAAAACTGGCGTCGTGACATCATTCATTTGCATTTGGGAAAATGCTGAGTGATTTTCCAATGAAAGTTTACTCTTTGTGGTGATAGTTCAAAGATTTCCATTGCACAGCTGCAGTAAACAACTTTTCTTTATTTCATAGGAGAGCTAAATTATTCAGATATGACACATCGGGAGATGAGCCAGAATGGAAGGAGCGAGGTACAGGAGAAGTTAAACTACTTTCACACACAGGGAAAGGGACCACAAGGCTATTAATGAGGAGGGATAAAACACTGAAAATTTGTGCTAATCATTATGGTAAGTACTGTAATACTTGTGCCATATTACGTAGATGAAAATATTTAGATCAAAGGCATAAATTGAATTGTTGATCAAGAGGAACAAGTTAATTGTGGTTTGCTCTAGTTTGCCTTAAAAGTTGGGATGTGCCTACAAAGCCTGAGTATCAGTGCAGAATTGCTTTTTGTAGCTGGTCTGAAATGTGATACTGAAGAGTACCTTTAATATCTTCACTGGTTTGCACTGAGTAAAGAACTAAATGCATCCTTTGCAATTTTAAGCAGCAAATGGTAGGTTTTGAAACTGAAAAATTGACATGGACAAAAGTATTGACTGCACAAAAAGATGGGGACCATTCCCACAGATATTTGGATCGATCTATCTCCTTGGGGGGTCTCACTAAATTGCTATCAAACTAACCGGCTTAAACGTCTGTCACGCCTAGTAAAACTGTTAGGGGGTAATTATCTTTACCCCTAGCCGATTCGGTAGGCGTGACAGACCTTTAAGCCTCTTGAGCTGATAGCAATTTAGCACGAACCCCCAGGGGGATGGATCGATCTATGTATGGGAACCCAGTCATAGATCTAGAGTGAGGAATTCCAAAATAGCCCCTTCAGCTAATAACAGCACTGAAGGCGCATTTCCATTTTAGTCTTACCACAGATGGAACTGAAGAAGAATTGTGGCAGTGACAAGGCCTGGGTGTGGAACACACCGGCTGATTTTGCTGATGAGGAACCAAAACCAGAATTACTAGCTATTCGATTTGCAAATGTTGAAAGTGAGTACGTCTTAAAAATGAAATAGTTTTTGTTTTGATTCCAGAATGAAAATAGTTTGTAATATCTGAGTGCCATTATTACCATAACTTGGCATAAGCTTCAAAATATTTTGCTATTGCTGCTTCTGTGCTAACATGTATTTGTTTTATTCAAACCAGTACTCTTTGTTTAATGTAGATGATGATAAATTTGTGACGGGCGGACTGAGATCACAAATGTACAAGTGATATTATTCTTGCTGATTGTCACAGTTCTGATGCATTACGTTTTTCTTTTCAACAAACAAAACAAAACATACATATTTAGACATTGCAAAATAGTCAAGTTTGCACGCATTTATTTTTCAGATGCAAATAAATTTAAAGAGACATTTGACAGATTAAAGGCATCAGGTGAATCAGAAAAAACTGGAGGTAAGAACTTGCATAAGGATGTTGGGGATTCGCTTATTTTTGTTTGTACATTTTAGTTTTCATCTAAAAGCATTTGTCACATTTTCCCATGCAGTAACTTGCCCCTTTAAAACTTTTATTTCAGATGCGAAGAGAAAGAATAGTATGTGCAGTTGCCTCTCTTCTTAACATCCTTGAACTATATTATCGGCAATATTTGTTAATAATGTGATGTCTAGAACTTTATTTATCAATTTTTTTATGCTACTTATACTGAAATAATTCATCTCTAGATATTTTGGTATGACCACACCTATTTGGTATTACCCTTTCAGACACTCCAGAAAAGCCAGAGCAATCTGAAAATTCTAAAGAAGACAGCAAATTAGCAGATGGCAACACAAGCGCGAGTGGAGACAGCACAGCTGCAAACAGTGTAGCAGAAAAATTGGGAGAAATGTCTGTTAAAGACTCTGAAAAGAAAACTGAAACAACAGAATCAAAAGACAGTGAAAAAGATACAGAGACAGCAGAGAGATAATATTGTATAAGTAGTCTGTCTTTACAGTTCACAATTTTGCCCACCTCGAGCATTCATAAAAGGGGAAGTTGTTGGTGCTTAACACGTGATTTTTAACCCACATTTTCCATTTTGTATGGTTTACGTGATGAACACATACTGCGTAAAAATTTGGTGTGAATGTGTCTGCTCTTTACAGCTTCAATCATCTCGCTCTATCAACTAGGTTTTATGATGAAGAATGAAGGTATAAAACTACAGATAATGCCTTCATGCATCTCTTTTATGATTTGAAGTATTAGCAAAAAGAAAAGCTTAACAGTCTGGACAGTGGTTTTACATTGCTAACAATTTTGTGCTTTTGACTAAGATTTGTAATGTCTCAATATTTTGTCGAGTTCTCCAATTCAACTGGAATCATTATTTTAAGGGAGCCCTTAAGCTGTGATGTATGTTGAAAAATCAGATGGTCATACTACCGATCTCTGTACAATGTTTTTATTTGCTAGCCATAATAGTCTTTGACATGAGCTTGGAAATGGTGTGTAATGAAAGATCTTTATCATTTCGTAATGTTAATAATGAACCTTTCCAACAATAAGACACTTTTCGGTAAATGCCACAAACAAATAAAATTTTTACCTTTACTATGTTCTTTATTCATTTGAATAAACTGCTTTTAAATTATTTAGTGTTCTGCAGCTTAATATTAAGCAGCAGTTTCTAGTTGTAAATCATGATAGAAATAGCCAATAATTTGCCCCTGTTGAAGATTTTTTTTTTTTTTTTGTCATGCTAATTATTAATCCCAGTATTATTCTGCCACCCCCAGCACCATTTGCAGCTTTTCAAACATGTAAAAAAAGATCAGTAAACACTTGCTTTTTTTCAGTAACTTTTCTCAGGGTGCAGAATATTGGAGATTTGTGACTGGACAAGATTACAAGACCCAAATTTTGCAAATTTGGGCACTGAATACATTAAAAGTAGAGAGAACCTCATGATCATATAAGCAGTCTGTATATTTCTCAAATGTAAAATTTATTCCCCTGCCTTGTAAAAAGGTCACATAGACATATATTAGTCTGCAATACAGTGTACAATGTACTTTGGACAAAGACTGCAATAAGCAAACCCAAGTACCAAGCACTTAAACAAGACTGCACTTAAAAATTAAATGTGGGACTTCGCATTTTTAAAGTCCATATATCTGACATATAAAGAATTTGCTATAAACTTTAAGATAATTGTAAAATTCATAACTTATTTTTAACAACAAAGACGACAAACTGGCAACTCACAACAGCTTACCTATGACACTTACATGAAATATTTCATCTGAATAAGGATAATTGTCAATTAATGCTCTTACTTGTACTTTTTGAAAGAAATGTGCACCAGTGTCCTTTGACACAGTAGAGCAATTTAAATATATATATAATATGTACTGCACAAAGCCAGTTTATCTCCAATTATTGGGAAAAAAAGTCTTACTGTAGAAGGATAAGACCTGATAAACCACCTGCTTGTCAACATTACAGTTCATCTCTCTCTCTGACTATCTGGAATGATGTGAGAATTTGCAGCCTGTCTTTCAGCTGCTGTTTCTTGTTATCACTGATTTTGCCTTCTGCTAACTTCTCAACTCTCTTCATCTCAGATTGGACAAAATCTTCACCCTTCTCCACAATCTTCTGCATAGTTTTGATGTATATAGCAGCAGAGTTCTGCTGGGCATCAGTCACTTTTTCTGAAGCCTTTTGAGCTTTTTTAATGACATCCAGCTTCTGCTCAGCAGTACCAGCTTCATATAGTTCCTTTACTAATTTGTCAAATTCTTCAATGCAAGCAGGAAGACCAAGCCACAAACCTAAAAACAAAACCAAAATGCTGAAATTAATTACAATGGAACACATCAACCTTCATTTTGCATTGATTTCATGAAATAAGAACTAAAATTCCAACGTGGCAATTGTAAAAAATGTAGATACAGTAAGCAATTGACCCTTTTTTACTGACAAAGCCCCAAAACTCAGTTGGTAGACAGTTAATAAAACAGATACAAGTCACATCTGGTAAAAGCCACAATCTGTATGGGGGAAATGTCAGAAGATCTGATATTAATAAAATAATCCACCATGGACTGTCAAGTCAGTTCTTTGTGAAATACAATTTTCATACCTGATTCTTTCATAATGAAAGTCCTTATTGCATCTGAGTCAGTGGTACTGCCAGTATAAGTTTTTTGTTCTTTCCCATTAAGAAATATTTTATATACTGGAAAATCTTCTTTCTTTACATTAAACCTCTCTGCCAGGTCAGAATTCTCTTTCTCACCATAATCTGCAATCCAATCAAAATAGCATTACCAACAACCACTACGCAGCAGAATTTTTATATACCTGAAAGGAAAACTGTAAATATCAACATAACAATGAGTTATTGACAAAGAAAAAGAACAATTGTTGTCCACATTTGACACTAATACATCATACCAAGCTTGTGCCCCTTTTGTCACTACTGCAAGAAAAACGAGCATGGAACAAATTAGAAAAGGTGGTGTATGTGTGTGTGCACGCACGCGCGCAAATTCGGTTGTCCTCATTACCTGATACTTGAACTTCTGCTACTAGTAAATCAGGTTGGGAGATGGAGGATTCTGCCACCTTTTTAAACTCATCCTGTTTCTCACCATACGGAAAGGTTTCATCAAACTTCACTAATGCTGCCTTCTGCTTGCTTAAAATCTGACGAAAAAAAGTGTTAAATCTACATTATAACATTGATCTTTTTTTATCTTTTGTTGAGATGACAAAAAATGATGGTTGTTTTATTTTATTACTGAAAATCATCCCTTATACCCAGGTCTATAAGACTTGTTTTACCCAAAAGGCCAAATCACGATCGGCTGTCACCCTGATTGGATAGTAAACGATTGTCGTAAAATCGCTAAATGATATTAAAACCGGGTGCATAAACTTGAAAACCACCTAGGACAACCTTGGACTGCCACATTAATCCAATACAATGCAAAAATAAACTATAACAAGTGGTTAAAGCCTTCAAACCGAATGTCGTAAAGTCCCCATATACCTCCATATAGACAATAAAATAGAGTAAGCTTGTGAAACAAGATTCAACAATTTTAAACATAATAATCGAAATAAAATACTGCCGGGCATCGGAGCGACCTAAAACTTGGCACGCTTACCGCAAATACTGCAGGCTACATCATCCCGTCGCTCGTTTGTAAATTCTGTGCATGGCATACGCACAATCAAACCATAAATCCAAATTCCACCTCTGATGCTTGAGTCGGTCCATTCTAACCTCCCATTACGAAAAAGAAGCCATGCCATTGGACAATGCGACCTCTGCGGTTATGTCATTTCCTGAATTGGATTGTGGAGAGGACCAACTCAAGCATCAGAGGTGGAATTTGGATTTACGGTTTGATTGTGCGTATGCCATGCACGGAATTTACAAACGAGCGACGGGATGATGTAGCCTGCAGTATTTGCGGTAAGCGTGCCAAGTTTTAGGCCGCTCCGATGCCCGGCAGTATTTTATTTAGATTATTATGTTTAAAATTGTTGAATCTTGTTTCACAAGCTTACTCTATTTTATTGTCTATATGGAGGTATATGGGGACTTTACGACATTCGGTTTGAAGGCTTTAACCACTTGTTATAGTTTATTTTTGCATTGTATTGGATTAATGTGGCAGTCCAAGGTTGTCCTAGGTGGTTTCCAAGTTTATGCACCCGGTTTTAATATCATTTAGCGATTTTTCGATAATCGTTTACTATCCAATCAAGGTGACAGCCGAGCGTGGGCCAAATTATGCTCTTCGTACTTTGTACCGATGTTACAGGAATGGAAGTCCGCTAGGAACCGTGCTAGTCCGTTCCCCATTACTTTGCACAGGTGATATTCGTCCCATATACTAACCCCAATACAGCTAACCCTAACCTGTACTAATCATATAAGACCCTGAACTTCCATTCCTAGGACTACCATTCCTGTCACACCGGGTGCATCGAAATTTTCCAAGGACTTTCTAAATTATGTACAGTTAGATGTTTTGAAAGAAAATGCAAGGACAAACCAAGATATACACACTTTGTCAAATACTCCCGAATTTAACTGCACAGATCCTTTGACAAGTTCGCCGTTGACTGCAGGAGATAAACTTAATATCAACAGAAATATTACAGCATTTACATCTGGTCCCTCCATGCTTGCCTGCCTGCCGGTGTATATAGACTACTGTGAACCAATCAGTTGACTTACCCTGTCACTTGCCTGTACAGTTTCTATTGGCTAGTTTATCATGTAGGCCAAGGTCGTCCGAAATTCGAGAATGGAAGCGAGCAAATTGTGTTTGTTGAGATTGCGTTTGCAAAGTAAAAGGTAAATGGAGAAGTACTTCATACGCATGCGGGACAATGCAAATGTTCCGATATTCAGAATATGCCAAGGACATAGACCTACTAGCTGTCTTTCTTTTATTAAGACTATGCTTTAACTCGATGCAAACGTTGCTTGAAGGATCAAACACTATATTTTCGGCACATATATATCATGGGCTTAATGGTATAATAATAGCCTAATAACAATTATTAGGGGCCTATTATTATTATTATTATTATTATTATTATTATTATTATTATTATTAAAGAAAGATAGATGGACAAAATGAATGAAAAAATAAATTAAGATGAAATGAAAAATAATCTAAAAAACACTGATGATAATATATTTAATGTCTGTTTTCGAACACAGATATCCCATTTACTCGTATGGAATAATTGTGGAAGACTTAATTATGAAGCGTATAGAACTAATCGTTAATGATGGTTTGGTTAGGCGTTCTGTCCCCAGCTTCCACAGCAGAAACATATACAAGAGACTAATAGGCCCAGTGCCCGACGTAGACCACTATTGCAAGTGATTGCACTGCCACGTACGTGTCAGCAACCTAAACTGCCGCCAACGTCTAGGTTGGAGGAATTACTGACATACAAACAGCGATTTAATGATGCGCGCTTTTTTAACATTTACAAAGTATACAACCGTCAAAGTACAATTTTGTATCTGTTCATTAATTAATTAATTATTAATTCTTGAAATGGGAAAATCGAAAAAACTGATATCCTAGTAAGTGAATTTATTATTTTTTTAGACAAGGATTGGTCTAATCAGTCTCTGATGCCTCACTTTCCTTTTGCGCCCGAAATTAATGGTAATTGATAATCATGAGCAGAGTCAGAAAAGAGATGATTGTCTTTGAAGGTATAAGTTAATAATGAGTAAAATGCACTATAATCTCACGTGCAAGAAATTGGATAAAACGATTCATTAATACGTATGATCATACCACGCAACAATACTCCGTGCGATGAATGGAACCGTAATTTATCTTGACTTGATATAAAATATCTTACGTTTCTCAATTGATGAATTGGGAGATCGATGAACCCTATTTTCGATGTATTTTACTTACCAACTCCAGGCCTAAATCAACCAGATATCGTCTATCTATTATTGAGTTTATCATTTTTTTTCAGTTATCCGACCCTCAAGTAGTGATTAAAATTTTAGGAGTCAAACCACTTCCATAGTTAGTCCCTGTATACCATTAGGTTTAACTTAACATAACACTCAAATGTTCTTTGTCAGCCCAATGTGCTGAGGACAATTAAACTCAGTATCGGGCTATATACATTTTTTGTTTCAATGCAAGTTATGATTGAACTTTGCCAACGTCTTTCATGTTTAAAATGTAGGATTAAACCTGAAGTATACCCCCTTTTGCTGTATATACACGTACGCACTTGAATGCTGTACCCAAAGTCATAGACAACTGACTCGAAGAATTCTACATGTAACAACTATACAAATCTATACAAATACTTATGGAATGATTATTGGGAAGTAGCACAGAATAAAACTAGGCCCTATTGCTATTGATGGGTGTATCGTTTTTTTTTTTTTTTTTTTTTCAAACTTTCAGTTATATAAATATGTAAGGCTCTCAATCATGATTCACTTTTTGGACTTAGCAGCCACTGGAGTTTTTCATGATCTGTTTTCTACTCAGGTATCATATATAATTACGTATACAGCAACTTCGGGATATCATTATAGACTCCTTGGCCCTAAAAGGGTTCATAGGAACAGTCGGGACTTGAACAAGATGGTTGTAGTTGCCAAAAGGTTTTATCTGATAGCTTGTCGTCTCCGATTTGAGAATCATGTAGCCTCAGACCTACCATGTTAATAGAACACCTTTGTGAGCCACGATAAAAACACCAACACTTGACTTCATCGCTATATGTGGGATCAAGAGACAAGAATGATATACACATGAACTAACGATCTGAGATACGAGATGCCTAGTTTTAACATGGGTGTGACAAAGCGAACGAGGGCGCAATGAGCAACACCTCAACACTGGTATCACAACTCACCGCACAGACTTCACTTTTGTTTTCAATTTTTCAGCGTCAAAGGAGCTAACTGAAAATTAAAGAACAGCTGGAAATGCAAAGAAGGACCCCCCCTCCCCCCCCCCCCCCCCCCCCCACACACACACACACACTGCCTGTTGTAGAGATTAATATATCAACTGTTTAACTGCAGTAGATATTGCATTCTAGTTGCGCATACTGTATACAACATAGAGTTACATACCATTCCGTCCCATTTAACAGGGCCTAATAAAAAAAAAGACAGGAGCCTCCATCCGATCTCCAAAATGTAATTTATGAACTGCAATATTTATTAATTTATGCTATTTGGAAAACAAATGTATTTAAAAAAAGACAAACTATTCTTTCACTGATCAATTTTGATGGAATTTGGAATTTGCAACCGTGTTTGTAACAGAAATGTAGTTGTATCGCATCACATGCATTTGTTTACAATGATTATCACCATATATATATATATATATATATATATATATATATATATATATATATATATATACCAAAGACGCTTTGATCCCGATGGTCTGTTTGTGCAATTTCAATTATTCATGATCACACTACTGGCAACAGTACATGTACATATATGTAAACCGCGCCCACTGTGAAAGAGTGGTAGTGAATTTTGGAAATGACTAACCTCTTCCCACTCTGAACGAGCAGAAAAGTTCCAATTCAGGAGCACAGAATCATGTTTCACACATTACCAACCACCCCACCCCACCACTTTCATAGCTCTCTATCAGGCATTGTATCGAGGCTTTTGTGTTTAAAGAACTTTTAAAGGGACTTTCATCAATCCTTTAAGTAAGAGACTTTAAAAGCTAGTAAAATGTTGAACACTTTTTATATGAAAACGCTTGTCAAATATATTGACATTACGAGTAATTTAATACAGAAATATCTCAAAATTTGGAGAAAAAAAACTAGGGTCCCTATTTTTTAATATAATTTATTAAATTTCGTTCATTATATACATAGGCCTACGTTGTATCATAGGTACCTGTATTTTAGACATTCATTTAACACCTTTTTTGTCTTTCAAGTAAATGAATAATTTGCACTGTGTTTGTTCTGGTTAAAACAAAAAAAGTACATTTCATCTTATTGTCACTGGAAAAAAAATTCTTGTCAATTTAAAATATACCTAGGAAAATGTACTTAACAAACGTCGTGTTGATATAAATAATAAAGTATATCAACTTAAATCAAACATGAAAGACACAATCTACGGAAATTAATTGTTTTGACTTATTCCTTTCATCCGTTAAAATTTTTGCATATGCATCCCGTGGGCAACTCGAATTGCTCAAAAGAGACAGACGAATCTACTTTATTTCGACAGGAATTCTCTGGTTTGCAGAAAGCCAGTAGAGTGAAAACTCCCATAGTTGTCACACATTGTCCCGGGCAGTACTCCATGATTCCATTAAACCTGAAATAACGATTACGAAAGGGAATTTACTTTAGTTTAGTTATGTGTGAGGATAACATTTATAAGGATCGAAAAGGTCAAGTCTTAGACTTGATTAATCTAACCCACGCGTGCTGCGGCGCGGTGAGGGGTAATGTAAGACTGTGGGGTTTATGTTTAACGTAATCGATCAACTTTTTTGAAACAAATGTATAAAGAAGCATGAAGGCATGTCTTTTCATTGACAGAGCCAGCAAACCAAGGCCACATACATGCACCGATCAGTGAGTAAGAGCAAATGATTTGCTTCAAATGATTGTTTTAATCTTTTTTTTAAAATAAGGATATACGATAGAAGCCCTCCAGTCGTCCTGGTAATTTAATGGGTCAAACAACAAACCTACAATTTTGTTACTTTACAAATTTGTCTTTTAGAAATGAAAAACAGATATTGGAATTATCGGTTATCTCCCTATTTTGCAGGTGGATATAAGTGAACGTTAATCAAACCTGCATAACATTTAAATCTTCACAATTCGGATAATCTCTCTCTCTCTCTCTCTTTTCAAAAATAAAAGTAGGTTAATTTATGCCATCACGTATTCGGTTCTTAAAAGCGTAACACGTTGATGATGTTGTTCTTAATTAGAGAGTGACAGTATATTTCTAACAAAGAAAAATTGAATTGTGCACTCTGGCAAATTTGAATACTATTGGGAGATTAAATCTCTTTACTCTTGAAAGAGTTTGTTGCCATTAATCCAGTGGTATATGATGGCCTCCTAACTATATTTAATAACGAAATGCACTCCATCAATCATATCCTCGCTTCTACAAGGTTTCCATTTGGTTTGCTCTCAGAGACGGAGGTAATAAATAAGATTTCATAAGATTTAAAGACAAAGAATTCAAGTCGTCTGAATTTAGGTACATCATGTTAATACATATCAATTAGCTTACTTGCACTCTGATACCGTGACGCTTTGGTATTTATTCACCCTGTCAAGCTGGACAACGAGATACATTTCTCCGTTAATGTCCTTTATAGGCTCCATGGGTTGAAATCGAGTCAGTTCTCTGTAAATGCAGATTAAATTGATTAGAAAAGAACAATTTATTCTAAAGAATCCAGTGCCAAGTATCTGAAACCTTCTGATATTAAATCCCCATTTTCAACTGTTTAATAATTTATTTTATTATTTTAAGGGATTATTGCGCCTTTCAGTCATGTCATACAAATAATAATCAATGAATCTGTAACTCAGTTGCCAAAGGTATCAAACGCATGGTTTGCAGAAAGACAAATGTATCCCAACCATCAAAACCCATTAGACTACAATGACCTGGCTTATAAGGCTTTCAGAGAGATCTAAAAAGACATTTTTGGGGGAAAAAACGTTATACAACCTAATGTAAAGATTGTTACCTACACATACACAACAGGGAAGAGGTTAAACAGGTCGGGGGTGTTATTCTCGAAACTTATCTTTAATTTTAGCAGTAGGCAACGACTGAGAATTTTGAATCCCCGTAAATAGGACACTCGACTTATATCGAAGTTTACTGAACTCCTATCCCCCAGGCAACCTGTTTGTACCTATTTCTACACCTGGGTGAGAGGGATACTGGGTGGAAAGTGTCTTACCTAAGGATACAACGAAGACGGGTTGCCACCCAGTGCACTTGTTAGCATTTCATGTCTTACAACTGTTCTTATCAAAGAAAATATCCCTATCTTAGCTAGCTATCTGACACTTTCTACAGTACCAGCGGACCTGCGTGGAATATTGATGTGCTTTTTTAGTAATTACTACTACGTAAAAACAGTAGGGGAGACCGGGGCTAGTTGGACCCCGGGGTAAGTTGGCCCCCCAGCAATTTATGACAAAGTAACTATGGGGTAAAAGAACTGATCACATCATTGTGTAAAGTGACCGTATCCAATAGTACTAATAAAGCGTCAGCAGTGAGTCCAAATGAAATAATTTAGCATCTTAAAGTAGCTTTATTAAAAAGACTTGATGGAGGGGGGGGGGGGGCAACTTACCCCGGGGTCCAACTAGCCCTGGTCTCCCCTATCTTTTTTGATGATGTGACTTATGTACTGTGAATTTCATCTTTTGACTATTTTCTTTAAATTTTCTTTTATTTGATGTAAAAGTATTTAGAAGACTTCAACTACTTGATAAAAGCCCCTTAAAAATGGTTGTACTTATGTATAACTAGGTCTTTTCTACTCTGAACATATGTATGACGAAATTACGGGCGTGAAGATGACATTCACAGTTAGTTCTTATGGGATGAAGTCCGTATAATTATCTCTGATCAGATTCAGCAGTTGTCACGTTCTGTTACCTTGCTTGCCTTAAAATGTGTACGTACTACTTAAAATATTTATCTTTCATCATATTTTTATATTTGAAGTGGGAATGGGAAATGTAAAACTGGTTCTTAGCACATTGTTTGGTATAGGTTACTGTATGTGTTTTATGTAAATTTAGTGAATTTAAACTATATTCTTACTACGCATAAATCGTTGCCTCTATTTATTATTGGAAAAAAATAAATGCGACACAGGGAACTTACGCAGGACAGCATATATCTCCATCTACTAATAGACTCGAATCCGAGCCGACAGTACCCCGATTCGAGACAGCGTCATTATCATCTTCTGCGTCCCGCTCTCGCCTTTTCGAGAAGACGACACTGTTCTTTTGTTTATAAATTGGCGCTTGTTTTTTAAAGATGGTAAAATTACTTTTCAATCCAGTCTTCTTGGACAATTTCCTCCCAAATGTCTTCATGTCAATTTGATCCAATTTGGCAGGTGATTGAAAAAGTCCAGGATAAAGGACGTCATACACTTCATAGCTAGTGTTTGGCTCTGGTTTGAAGCATGATGTCGGACACCCGGTGCATCTGTCCGGGCAAGAGTCATCATCATCATTGTATGAGAACGATGTCACTGCTATATTATTTCCTGCCAAATGTCGCGTAGACAGCGGGCTGTACCGGGAATACGAGGCGTACGAACCAGATGGTAAAGCTGAATTCATCATCGGATAATTGTCATCTGAGGTACTTAAAGCGAAAAGTCCATTACAGTCACATAATTTCATAATAACCAGAAGAATAACACTGTCAAGATCCATTACTACTGCGTATGTCGAGAATTGGTGTGAAAACAAACTTGGTGAAATCTGTGGCCTAAAAACTGAACACAAAAGAGCATGATGTCAACTTGTATAAAAGTAACTTTACAACACCAACAGAAGAATATAAAAACCCAAACATGAACTCACATTTAAAATGTATGTTACATGGTTTGTTTATACCTCGGTTATTGTAAATATAAAGTTTACCTTTATGGACACAGCTTTTAACTATTACAGAGCATTTCTTTAAGTTGTATGTAAAAAGCTGAGTGAGACCGTTTTAATGATATATTATATTGTAGTACATTAATGTCAGGTGGATGACTACAGCGATATTCAAGGTCCTGGGGCGGGACACTGTTACCAGCCTACACAAGGCCCATATTTTCTCGTGGCCACGGCTCTTCGATATGTATAAAAAGTATTTTCTCATTCAAATTAAATAAACAGCACATTTTATTGCGTAGTTGCCTTTATTGCCTCAGTCTAGATTATGGCAATGATTCGAAAAAGAAGAGGAATGACTGTCTTAATGACTGTCTTACCATCATAAACATTAACACAACAGCTAAGATTTCGTATTTTGAAATACCTATGGTACGAGTATATAGCATTATTATGATTAAGAATACACCGGCCTTATAGATTTGAAAGGCGAAACTCTCAGTTGGTAGAAAGGAAAAAAAAGCGCGAAAAAACTTTTACAGTTGCTGGAAATGGTCTGCAAAACAACTGACGACTTAATTTCAAACTGATTAATTTTAACTTCCTTTAACGTGTTCACATGATACTTGGATATGCTGATTTAGGACCTGCCGACTCTCAAAAGTCGTGAGAATCATTCAAACACATCCGTTTCGTAATGTAGATAAGATATAACTGACAAGACATTTACTTTGTCTGTCGCATGATCAGGTATCATTTGTTACAGAGCGTTTATGATAGCTGCTGATCAGACATCAGAATGAACACTATTAATGGTATTAATAGTCAGCGGCAGGGAAATGTTCGTAGCGTTAAACTTGTCACCTGTGAGAATAACATCTAACATCTTTATCTTAGTAGCATCTGGGTTTCAAACGACAGCATAGCACGTCTTATGATGATATTACCCGATGAACCGACCTTGGCTGATGTAATCTGAACTCGAGCTATTTGTCTCTTTAAAGGCAATAACATGCCCGAAGGAGCTGTGAATGAAACTAGCCAAAAGCTGAATACAAGTCATTGTTGTGCAGGGGAAAGTAACCGAGGTTTTTTATAAATAATTTAGAAAAAAAGAGAAAAATTGATCTAGTTATAGGGTAGCTAGGGCTTAATCAAAACTTTAAGTTTGATCGAATGTACTTGCAAAAACGATATCCAATGTTGGTACACGTAATCTTAGCTCATTTCATTATACAACGATTCTTGTTCTAGAAAGACTAGTAGAGAAGACATAACACTGTGTCAGCTTGCGGTTGTCACGATCGCTGGCTCTGCCTGTATTTTACTCGACGCCAGGAGCCGTGTCGAACTGATTGCATTCAGCAAGAGTCCCTGCAGAGTTGGGTCGATCTACGTAGACCGGTTGTCTCAATGGAAATGAACCCTTGCACTCGTGTTTATGATACAAAAATGATGAAACTGTTTTTTATTTATTTGTTTATTTATTTATTTTTTCATGGTTTACATATTCGTGAATGAGGCAAGGTATTGTAAAAACAAAAAATCGTGAATATTAGAGAAATTTAATTCATGTAGAGATTTTCCTTGGGCTTTCCAATACTTAATTTCTTTTTTTTTTCAATGCTGACAAAATATGTTGCTCTTAGATCTAAAGGCTTTAAACATGCAACTTCATACAAAATCTCATTTTCTACACTGCTGAATCACGTATGTTTCAAGTGAGAATGTGGCTGCATCCGTCATCGCATAGCTATGTTTTTACCTATGCAACAAAGCATCCTGCAGTTAAACGTGATGACAATAAGCGGCTCCGCGTTATGCTATAGATTACTTCAAAATGCGCTTTTATTTCCATCAAGCTATTGATCAAAATTATTGTGGATTACTACGATTATGGAGCGCGCTTGTGTCTGGCGACGTATTTAGCAAATCGCAGCTAAATTGATATCAAGCTCGATGCTCCTCCGGATCATCTTGGCCTCTTAAAGATTTCCCAAACTTTTTGGTTGTTATGAAGTTTATCATTTAAGTTCCGACAGTTGCCGTCACTGACTATTGCAATTCAATTAAAGCAGACCTGTTTGGTACATGGTCTAAACTGGAGGCATAGAAATAAAGATAATACCCCCGATATATACATCTATGTTCACAACTTTGCTTGAGTGTTATTGAATTTTCCACTCAGCTCAGAGAACTAATGATGGCCACTGAACAACATATAAGAAAAGGCGCAATATATATCGGCATATTCAAGACATTATACACTATCATGTTGTGAGCGTTCTCGGAGTAGCCGCGTAGTCAAAATATGCAATTTTACATTTTACTGGCATGTAAATAAACAGCTATAACATGTTCTCAATAATTATTGAAACTTAAGTCACGGCTATTGTGAGGTTTTCTCAGGCTATGCTGACCACTAAATTCATATCTTTGTTGTTCCAAATATAGATTACTTATCCCGCCCGATAGCACTAAGGTTGAAATAAAAGTACCTACCTCTTGCCACAACCGCAGCCTATATGAACAAAGCGGGTTTAATTTCAGATTAATCTCTCGTCGTTCTTATCGCAGCAATAAAAAATTGCATATAATCTAGCATAACTAACTGCATATCTTGTCTTTTTTTTTGCTGAATCTTAATAAGGGCTTTGATTATATCTAACCCAAGACGGTGCGTCATATGTTGAGATTTGACACTAGATTCAAAATCAGCACCCTCAGTTTATCTCTTGAAAAATGAATGTTTTTTTTTATTTTGTCATTATAAAAGAACCTAAAAAACAAATGGAAGACATTAAAGAGGAAGGAGATTTAATTATGAGTATAAAACGGCAATGGCGGGCATATGCAAAGGGTGAGACAACTTCGAAACTGAAAACAATGGACTTCCCTGATGAATTGGAGACGTCATGCGTTATTACACTTAGACACGACTGGGGAGACTTCTTTCATACACCGCCTCACTAATCATCAAGAAATGAGACCCTACCCAGAAGTCGGTTAAGATCGCCTAATTAAGTACTTTGCCTCAAAAACTGGAACCCAATAATTGATTTTAGCATAGAAAAACCAGACCACTTTGGTTGTCTGTATTAAAGATTAAGTATCAAGGATGTTTGGTGTCTAACATATATTCTTACTCTCCTAATAGATATCCTGGGGTTTCATCTGAAAACATGTCACATTCCATTTAAAATAAAGAAATTAATACCCGTACCTAATGTGCCATTTACACTCGAAGCAACCGTTCACCAGGTCCCAGGCAAGAGAAGAGAAGAGAGGAATACTCTTAAAACAGGTATTTCTGAGTTGATATAGTGTCATTAAATTAGTACTTAAAATTGTTTACATGTTAAAATGCCAATAAAATAAAATAAATATATGAATCACCTTTAAGAGTAAAAATGTAAGGATAAAAACGTTAGTCGCATTTTTTTCGTATGCCAAAATACTATGTGCGATACATGTGCCTTTGATCCAGGGTATTTTTGATCGCATTTTTTCCTGTAAATCTCTATATGTTCTTGTCAAAGAGTGTGCCTGTGTGCGTACATTTATATGAATGTACATGCCTTAACTGGTGCAGTTTATTTCCCTAATTCAAACAATTTTAATATTTACATATAATTTTATTTCTCCTCAACAATATGGGTGTGTCCTTATATATACAGGCACGTGGAAAATTTCGTGAAACATAACAAATGGCTTTTTTTCTATCTTTTAAAACAATTTAACTCAAGTAGCATGATTGTGTTAATAATGCCAGTTGTATTAGAAAATTGCTATTTTAGATTAAATCGTCAAAAAAAAAAAAAAACTTCACAAATGGTCATCAATTTCTATCATGCTCGGTGCGACAAATAAGAATTTTTGATTTCTTCCAAAACTTTCTTACTCTAAACTCAAATGATATGCTGGGTATGTTATTAACTCAAAAGAATGACATTTTGGCATATAGGTTTGGGAAAAATCATTATGAACTCTAAATGATATCTGTGCTGTTCATGAACTCTGTAAGAAGTAGCGTGAGAATCCACCTGGCATGAGGTTAAAAATCTATTTAACCCCTAACAAAATAAGATAAGTGCCGTCTCTTTAACCTTTCTATTGTCTTGACCACATTTTGCAAACACATCCCGTCGGGAGTCGGAATTTCTCGAAGGTAAAGGTCACACTTCCGGTGTTGTGGTTATAGCAGGAGTTGTGCTTCAGACAGAAAACCAAAATGGAGAACACACTGGTGGTGGTTACGCACTGGCCAGGGCACATCTTCACAGCATTGTGGCTGAAATAGAAAATTGAATTTTTTAAAGACACAGCTGAAGAATTACCTTCTTCTGAGAAAAATGATTTCTGCCTAAGAATGACTCAGATCCCTTGTGTGATATTTACCACATTTACTTGAAACATTCCTTAATGCTGTACTTTTCATTTACTATTTAAGCAAAAAAATATAACAAAGGCGCATTCATCAAAGAACTTTACTTACTCGCACTCAGCAACTGCAAACGTTTGATATTTTCCCAATGCCACAAGCTGCACGGGTACAAATTTTTCCCCGTGAATGTTCTCTACAGTGTCCATTGGTTGGTATCGGCTACGGATTCTGGTCATAGAAAACAACAAAAGTGATACCCAAATAAATTTTGAAATATATGAGAGAGAGAGAGAGAGAGAGAGAGAGAGAGAGAGAGATGATGATGATGATGTGATTTACAAAGGATCGATAACTAAAAAACCCTGATACATACTTAATCTATAACCATACAGAAATAAATTCACTGTGATTAAAGAAATTATGTCTTAATTTTACTTACGTCGGACAACAAGCATCGCCGTCATTATTGATCCCGTATGGACTGTAGGGAATGAGGTTGGTCGCGATGCTCACTGCCCCGCCTGACGCACCGGATCGCACTCCATAGGATGGAGTTTTAATGGAATTGCGGCCACCTTGTGGGAAATTGTTATTGCCACTGACAAGGCCCTGGTTTTGGTACCCTAGGTAGGGGTCTCCACCTCGCACCAGGTTCCCAGGAACACCGAATTGTACCATTCCTCTGGATGTCATGTTTCTCATCCGGTTGATGATGTTGTTGCCGAGGGCCGGGTGAAAGCCTTTAGGGCCTTTTCCATACGACCTCAGCTCAACAGACTTAGTGTAGAGCTCGTTGATGTTGCGAATCACAGGCAGATCTCGCCCAAACGTGTCCTCGTCCTCTAATTTTGCTTCATTTTCAGATACAAAAAGTCCTAAATAGGCGTTAAGAACATTGGGAATCTTGGGACTTTGTGTCGGCGCTGGTGTCGTTGTTGTTGTTGGAGCTGGTTGTCTTAGAGGCAGCCGAAATCCTTGATAAGGTACAAAAGCGACTTTTTCAGAAAGTTGAGTCTGACTGGTTATATTGGCAACGAGTACACTTATCAGGATGAGGATGGCTTGAGTCCTGTTATCCATTTTTGACTGAAATAATCCCCTCATACTTGTCAAAAACAAGAAAAAACGCGCATAGTTGAAGCGTTCTCCACGAAGCTCTTTGTCTCAAATGTGGGGACGTAGTTTTGAGCTTTCAATTAATTGAAGTGTGAAAGAAGGGCATTGTGTGTCTAGATCAAATCTCACACAGAAAATTATAGTCGCAGGTGCATTTATACTGAAGACGATTGAGGCTTAATGACGCCTATGTATGCATACAGCCCGATATCAACGCACAGGATCTTGTCGGGTTAAAGGGACCTCTTTATTTATTGTATATTTCTGACATTCTGACGTGCTCGCTGTATTCTCTTTTTCAAGTAATCTGGTTAACCCAGGTTAAACATGGTTTTAATGTGTTAAAGAGTCTTTATCTGCGTAATTGAAATTGCATCATCTGTTCTCTAATACTTATGTAGCACTCGGTAATTTATGCAAGTGGAATAAGGGTATACCCACTGCGTATCTTCTTATGAAAAAAGAGCGGTGCATGTTAAGAAAATTACTGTTATTATGTTAAAAAAGAAAGTTTGCCAAGTGATGTCACCAACGTAATTCACGCAAACTTCAATGTATCTTACTTCTTAGCGAAAGGACTGAATTCGATCGAAGTGACTTTTCTTCTCTCCTTACAGAGCACTTTTTATCTGCATATACGATGTCATTTGACATTTTACATGCAAAATTCATACCAAGAAGCAACTTCAAGCTACAAATAGCGTAGCGCTACAATGTCGGCGCGACGAGTTGTGTAAAAGAATGCTTCGAAAATGGTTTTGACTACAAAATCCATCACCTTTTACCCGCACGAAGTGAACAGTTTTATAAGCTATATAACCTACGAAGTGCCCACATATTTAAAGTACCAAAATTGAGAGCCCCAAGAACTTTTATTTCCTGGCCATTGTCAATTGTGAAATTTTGTGATTTTACTAACTACATCCAAAAATTCAATTCTACTACAATTCTTAAAAAGTTATTGAAATATTTCTAAATGTATTTTAGAAAATGTTTTAATGTCACATATGTATTTCTTAGAATCACCATAATTAGTATAGTTATATATGTACCACCCAACTTTTGGCAGCAAATAAATATTATAATTTTCAGTATTTTGCTCTATCGCGCTTTGTGTTCGCACCATATTCGATTGAATCGAAATCAAAATCTAATATGAGTGCTGGCGAAAAGAAATAAGACAAGAGTGATTTGAACAATTTTCAAAGAGAATGTTCGACTTTCGGAATGCAGTTGTGTGGACGGTGAACTACAAAGGCATGAAAATGACTTAAATTATTTGTTTACCAAGCGGTCATCGCTCAAACTAAACGATCTTCAGTTTAACCAAGGAGTTATAACAGAAGGAGATTACACGCAAGCCTCTCTATTGTCCGATGTCTGTTACGGTGGGCGGAGCTAGCTACGGGGGGCCNACAGCCTAGACCCAAGAAGAAAGAATGAGCAACTACACATGTATATTGTACTATGTCTATTCTTTTTATTCATACAAGGCTATTAGCGACAGTGCCCCTAAATTAACCCCGAATTGCGGGCTGGATGGGAATGTGATAGTGCTGTTGATCCAGTGGACAACTCCACTCAGCTGCCGCATCGGGACTGGACGGATTGACCCTACAACATTCTCCATAGACCTTTCTGGGTATGAAAGCACAGTCATGGAATCACGAGTTCTGTGACGCGTGAGCGGGAATTTTTTTTTTCTGTTTCAGCTTGTTGGCACAGGCAAGAGGAATGTCCTGCTTTCAGAGCCAAACTGTTAAGTACCCAAGTTTTTTTTCGCCAACAATCTTAGTTCGTTATAGGAAGTAAGAGGGATTTCCTTCTGTGGTGCTAACGTCTACTTAGCCTTAAACAGTTTGCTGAATACAAGTTGCTGAATAACGACGATACATTTGTTTGATGGTACATCTGGCTGTCGTATACATTGAAGTTGCGCCTTATCAGCAATTTTATCTATCAATATTGTATCTCGGTAAAATACTTGTATGCTAAGGTGTCATGTCACGTAGGCAATCAAGACCCCAAAAAAATAAATTTCTCTAGTGAATGACATAAGATTTGAACCAGTATGCAACGCGCATCACTTCAATTGTTGAGAAATATGAATTATCAAACTATGGTCCAAAATCTATCTATAAAATACTATTGAAGTTGAAAACGGAAACGATGGTAACGCACAATAACCCGATTTCTTCACCCATCAAAATTTGCAATGAAGAACAATTTTTGTATTTCTCTGTGTAATCCGTTAATGATCCCTGAGATGAAAAAAAAAAACAATATTATTCTGATAACTTTATTTTCCATGATGTACAGCGGCAAAACAGACTGGTATGTCTATGTCCCAGTATTAAGCGCTTTTTGAGAGTTATGTTCGGTTAAGAATTAAAAAGTTTAAAATGCACAGCAATGTTTGTTTCAATAAGACAAATCCATCCCCTTTCACCTGAAAGCACCCCCATTGAAATCCAACACATACAGTCTGTAGAAATATTTTGGCAGACTTTCAAAGACGATAAGCCATTAATGTTGTAACCCAGTAGTGTGGACGTGCACTTATCGTTTTTCTCGATGTTCATAACCAATGTAGCACAATTATTTTTTCAATATTGGATTCTTTTCTGAATATAAGGAACAAAATGATCGATACTTTCGACTTTTTATTTGCACTTCATAATGATAATTATTATTATAATTATAATAATTACATTGTATACAGTGATTCACAAACGCTGCCATTGCGTAATCCATGATATCTGCCAAATAGACTTTCAGGAAAAATTAAATCAATGAATAATGGATGATCGCATTCTGCGAATCATTTGAACGTGGTAATGGTGGGTTTCCATTAATTTGAGCCCAACAGACGTGGAATGATTGTAGGCAAATGGTTTAATACACCATGATTCAAAGGCTGATGAGGTCGTTCCATCGACAATTGTTTTATGATTGCAAAAACAGCCTATATTATCAAAGTAAATGCAGTTTCCCTGGAGAGAAAAAATAAATTGCATTTTACATACCATGATGCAATGCTATGTAATCGAGGAACAGACATATGTTAGCAATGATCAGAGTCGAACTTAACGCTCGAGAGCGATTCGGCATTCTCCTAGTACACGTACTCTGTGCAGTTTTGCGTGATACCTTCGCGTTCCGACATCAATAATAAATGGGACATGCACTTATCCACTTTAACTGGACCTTTCAGTCTATCACATTGGCCTTGTGGTCAGGCCAGTGAGTTCAATGTTCATGTCTATTACTCTTGGGGCCGGTGCTTCTTCGCATGCCAGGCTCCCCTTATTACTTTAATTGTATAATCTAATGCGGGTTTTGGGCAAGTGATTGGATAGTCTTTAAATGAAACGCAAAAATCTGACAAGAATAAGATCAGAAATATTCAATATCATCCTTAAAATCGACATGAAGTATTCCCAAATTCCTTTTGAAACTATGTCTATTTCAGTATCAATCTCATAGATGCAGCTGAAAAAGACCAACATCCAATAACAGTTCAATTCACGTCACACTGAAGCCCCACTGAAATCAGCTTCTTGACACAGATAAATGGGTACATAAAGAAATGATTTGGATTTCACTGTATAATCTGATTGGTTCGGGGAATTTCATATGATATTCTTCAAGCATAACGCAAGCATCTGACAAGAATTAACTAGGAAATATTTAATAGAACCGATATGAAGTAAGAAGTGAATTCCCTAATTCCTTGTTTAATGATTTTTTAAAATATCAGTCTTAACACCAAGCTGAATAAGACCATCATACAATTCACTTGTCATGTCTGTCGCTTCTTGGCGCAGATAAATAGGCATATATAGATGCAGAAATGTTATAGATACTACTATCCACTCAAATGAATAGCATTTTGATTTCCCTTAGCTTAGTTCGATTCTTTTTTTTTTAAGACGGTGATTGCACAAAGACCAATTGAAAAGATCTAAGAAGAGAATGCTATCGTGCTGAAATCACGTAAGCCAAGCAGGGAGGTCGATAGAGCCTAGGAGGGATTTCTACTTGTCATCTCTTTTTTAATTTGATTGTCTATTACATAGTTGTTACATGGGCCAAGGGTATTGACTCTTTGCATTTGTGCTTTATCTGTAGCAATGGGAGTGTAATCTAAAACATACAAGAGGTGTTCTTGGTTTATTTATTCATTGTAATTATAAACGTGCACATCAAATGCTAACCTAATACTGTTTCTTTATCGTTAACGCTGTGTTTATCTCTCGACGGTTTAAAAAATAGTTTCAAGTTTTCCTATAATATTTTAATAAAGAAGAAACCATTTTAGCAAAATTTGTTTTGAAAATTCACTGTTATCCATACGAACAGTAAGAAAAAGACTGGTAAGAACTCGTCATTGTGACACGTTTTAGATTAAAGGCCAATAGTAGGTTCTTAATTTCCGACGCAGCAGATAAAAGGTTCAATAAGGACCAATACCCGATATTGTGCGCCATTGATTTCAGGAACGTATTGTGATGCCATCAAAAGTTTGGTCCTGGCAAAGAGGCAAGGGAATCAAATATAGCAATGACAGTCTTTGAAAGCTTTGACATTTTTGTATCTCGGTCTTTACGGGCACCAATGTTCAGTTCATTTACAGATGGAGTCTTCTAAAAACTATATAAATCGACACCGTCTATTAAATTTCCGGATAATGCATGTCCATGTTTAATGAGCAATCAATATCCGCCCTTTTTTTTCCAAATGTGCTCTGAATCATTGTATGCTTAACTTGGTAGCTTAACTTGAATTATAAAAATACAACAAGCAAAATGAGTGGCCCCTTCATACCATTGATTATATCTCAAACATTAGCTTGTTAGGAAAAGATCGGTAAAACAAAGAATAAAAAGGGAATGTATTTCTTAATATGGCGATATTTGCAAGCGTAATAGCATAGTTTGTAAACGAGACAGAAAAGGGGATGTCGTTGAATCTATTGAAATGGCCCATGGCCTCGTATCATATATACGTAGCAATGTCATTCTATAGCTAAATTTCACCAGTATAAAAACGATACCACCACCACCACCACCAGCAACGACGTTTAAAATTAGCCGCAACAATTTGACTTTTGCTCCTTGAGT